GAGGWGGGGGTGAAGGATCGATAAGACACTAACCTCAAGTCTCGCTGTTTAAATCTGTAGCTCCGTGTGTTTACAGCTCCAAAACACAAGTGCAGTTGCTTCGTCTTTTTACTTTTCATTTTCCGCGTAGATAGTATGATAATAACATGTCCAGCCTGGGTCGCGGAGAGTATCGATCCTGAAGTTAGCTACTCGGTCGATACTTTTTTCCAGCTCGTAGTTTCGTTCAAAAAAAAAAGCTTCACTGGAGCATCCCGGTCAGAGGCAGGTTCAGATATAAACACTGAACTAAAGAAGCATGTCAGATAATTATTTAATCGGCTCTGATTAAACAACAACTTCAGATTCGATGTACAAAATGTAGCATCCATGCTAGCTCTGTAAACAAACAAGCCGGCTGATGAGACGTCACGTCTTTTACTGCGCATGTGTGTCACATCAGTGCTGTGTAGCGTTCACACAGGGGTCTGATGCAGGTCACATTTAAAATGTAATGTGAACGTTCACACAAAAAGATCGGATTTTTTCAAAAAATCGGAACTGAGCATTAAGACCTGCAGTGTGAACRTAGCCTTTATCAAGAGCATAGTCCTGAGTCAGCATTGGTTTTATAGACTGAAACTTACAGGAATTGCAGGTCACAATACGTTTTGATCGTTCTCACTAGATCTGTTTACATGCACAAAATTCTTTGATCGGATTGAAATGTATTTGGATTAAATAATTGGAATATATCGTTTACATGGGCACAATCCGATCATTACCAGTGTTTACATGCACCAGGCTTTTATTCAGAACAGAAGCACTGGCACGCGCAGTTGTTAACTTTCCCTAAAAAAACACAGAAAAAGTTCTACTTTTGTCATGAACATAAACAAACAGCTTCTGAGTGCTCAGAATGGACCTGCGACAGGTTTTAATAATGGTGGGGACTCACTTTTTTTTTTTTTTTTTTGCAAAGCGGTGCAGGCTGAGGAAAAGCTCTGTGCTGGAAATAGCTGGATGAAAGTCAGCAAACATGCACAGTCAGGTCAGTTTTCCTCAATCAGAATAAAATGATCGGATTAAGTGTTTACATGCACGCTKTTCGGATTATCAATCGGCATAAATCACCGCTTTCGTTCCGATTACAAATTCATTCGGATCGAGCTGAATCGGGTCAGAATAATCCGAATGGGGTGTTTACATGACACATTTTTATTCCGAATGGCTGTTTAATTCCATTACTTATGTCCATATAAATGTAGTTACTGAAAAATGCTTTTCTTTCATGACTGGTAAAGGGACCTGGGCAGCCAGAGCTCAAGTCTCCAAACACTGGCACACTGTTCTCCTTTTATAAACCTCCCACTCCCCCGTACATAAAAAAGAGAGGAAAAATAACAGACATGTGTTTACTCACTTCAAGTTAAGGCGCTCCCAATTCTTCTGGGTTAGCAAGCCACCACAGAGCGACTTGCTAATGTTCAGAGCCTTGCCAGTACCTCCAGAACTGAAACACATGCAAGCACCACAACTGGCATCAAAATTACTGCTGAATCCCTGGAAAAGCTACGTTCCAATAACTGCCCAGACCACTAAAAAAGTGCGAGCATGGGCATATGTGACGTTTTTGGTATGACCAGCAGCTAAAACCACTGGATGATCAGAAAAATGGGTTTATGTGTGTGCTTAGTGGCTGAGGATGAAGCAATGTGTGTGTCAGTGTGTGTGAGATTACCTTTGAAGTATGACATAGGAATAATAATATGTCGCAAAGGAGATTAAGAAGAGGAGAAGTGGGAGAAGCCTGAGGCCCCATGCTGATGAAAATAAGAACAAAAACAAATGAATRAATGTAAAACATTTTCATCTTAACAATAGTTTACATCTTAAGGATTAAGGCCCTGTCACACTATGACATTTTAGACAACTTATGCCAACTTATGAAATGTTTTATTTTCACTAAAAGACTAATAAAAGTTAGATATTTGATCAATTTGTTAGCATTTCAATACGTACATGCCTAAAAGAAGCTTCCAGTTGATTTTTAGACGTATCCAAACTTTGCATAAGTTGCCATAAGTGTGACAGGGCCCTTAGTTTTGTTGTAGTCAATGAGGTTTGGAAAAAAAAAATGCTGCCTGGCTGGTTTAACAGGTGGGCAGTTTATGAGTAGTGAATATGAGTAGTGAAAAAGAAAACAGAAAAAAAAAAATTATGGTTTTCCAGTATCACTTGTTATTTAGAGACACGTGTACAGGTCATTGGAAACTAAATTTCACAGAAAGTTAAACAAAAAACAACCAGCACCTGTTCAATTTCCAACCAAATGTAGAAAAATTCAGGCAAATTGAAATCTGCTTTACTCAAGCTAAAAAAAAATCACTATTGTTTTAATTTAATGAACTTTTCTGACWGCCTGGAAAGGTTTATCTTCAGGATATCTTTTCTGGCAGTGTTTTCTTCTGCCAGAAGGCTCCATACCAGAAGAGATAAAAGAACGCAGGTGAGGGAGAACAGAGAGTCTAGATCCACACAGTAAGTCCACTGAAGAAGTCAGGACAGAGTTCAAAAACTGAATGAAAGAATTTAACCTAACATTGTGTCAAWTTTTGGAGACTTTGTTAAATGTGTTTACTTAAATGTTGAGGAAAAAAAGAAAAGAACTCCATGTGTTCAACAATGACGTTAAAAATTTGCGAGTCTAGTCTTTGTTAGTAACACATTTGATATTGCATAACAGTAGAGAATGCATTTCATCTAAAATTTCGCAACATATATATTTATGATTAAGCAATAGGACCATCTGAAAAAGCTCAAGAAAATGTGACGTAATTAGCTGTAATTCAAATTTAACTATGTATTAAAAAGGTCTTTCCAACTGTAAGTCATAAAAAACATGTAGCTGCATTTAAATACTTGGAATACATTTTATATTCTCTATATTTTATTTTTACATTGTAAAAAATATTTTGTGTAAATGACTGGAGCAAGATCCAATAAAGTTGATTTCACATTTAGCTGTGATAAAACAGACACCTCGTGAGGGCATTATACTGCACTTTTATTATGAAGATGAAACTTCAGTTTTATCCCTCATTGAAACATCAAAATCTGCAAAGCGCAAATAAAAGACTTCCAAAGTTTCTGTATGTACACAACAGGAATTTAAACTGCGTACAAAAGAAAACAAATATATGATTTAGGATAAACCTTACGTTTAGCTGCCCTCTGGGACATCGTCACCTCCTCCTGTGTCCTCTCATGTCTACACAATGCCTGAGCTCATTCTGAGTGGTGCTGATAGGTGAAGAGACTCGACTTACTCAAACTTYCTTCACACAACCCTATAAATAAAACAGGTTCCTCTAAGACAGTGATACAAAAGAGAATTTAAAAAGTGTTAGTGTGAAGAATGACACCAAGAAAAAGACTATAATTAGCGAGAGAAGAGAAGACAACATGAAGCAGCTAAAAAAAGGACAATAAATTGATAATTTCTTGTGTGTGCGGGGTGGGGGAGGGTAGCAAAGTCATGGATTACGGCATTTATGAGCAGACAGTATTTTATATTTAATACTTGTTTTTTTTTTTGCCTAAAAATTGCTTCCCACCTTCCAGTCACTCGCACGCTGCTTACAAAGTTTACGAAATTTACATAGTGTAAAAAAACAAGTCTGTGAACACAAAGTTCAGTACGATGCCTTGAGGGCATCCTAAGGCGCTGYCAGCTGAAAGAAAGACAGCATCAGAAAACCAAAGACACTCTAATTAAATGCTTGTTCATAAAGAGACCATGCCCCTGGCAAATACTTGGCACGAGAGTTTACCCCTACCTATGCTAAGGAATAGAAAAGAGGGTGAAATGCAAAAAACAAGCAGGCAAATGAAATTTATCAACCTCATTTTAATTTATTGTGCAAATAACTGATTTACTGCTTATYATGAAAGGYCTACTTTTTAAACAATGACTGTTTWATTCAACCAAACAACTATTTTTCCTCCGTATAACCTGGCTCATATTGATGTTGTCTCATCCCATCCAGATAGATACACACTGCCACCGCTTCTATAAACACTTGCTTTTATCAACTGTAATTCATCAATTTTTCTGGCCTTGTGAGGCATGTTAGCCTGGCCTTTGACAAGGATTTCTTTGGCCCAGGTAAAATTCTACCGATCAGCAAAGAGAAGGAGGAGTTTTGAAAGACAATGTCGATTTTCTGCGCAGTGTCTGCTTGTAGTTTAGCAACGGCAGTGGAGGAAGTGAATGAAGCCAGTCTGTGCTGACAAGGCTTCCAAATCAAATTAAATTTATCTGACAAAGCCTGCAGCTCTCCTTTACAGCCATCKCGTTCGACTCGGTACTYCTCTCCTCTTCACCGTCCGCGAAGACCAAGGGCCTGGATTTTACCAGGCTAGGGTGATGTGGGAGGGGCATCGATTTGCCAAACTAGGGGAGCGGGGTCCACTAGACAAAGAATTCAAGTCTAGGTTCAGCCTTAATGACCTTAAAATATAACATTTTAGTATCAGAAATACTTTTAAATGAATGAATTTAAATGAATATAAAATTGACAAGTTGTATAAACATCCAAACCTGTGAGTGATGAAACTGATAAACAAGTTTTGTCTTTGATTTGACACCCACCTTTGTCAGTGTGGCCCAGGGCAGATGTGGCTGTATCTTAAMACCAYTGGTKTGTSAAYGTGTATGAATGGGTGAACGAYTGAAGTGTAAGGCACTTTGGAGTCCATAGGGACTTGATAAARCGCTACATAAGTTCAAGCCATTTACCATTTTTAAGTAATTTGATTTGTTTTAGATTATTGTATTTGTAGTCAGTTTCTTCCTCTGTGAGAATTTCTCCTTGATACCCCTAAACACCCTCAACATGGTCATCTACTGTAGGCAATCTCCATTTCTTAAATACATACATACATACATACATACATACATACATACATACATACATACATACATACATACATACATACATA